TTCCATTTTAGGCAAATGTGCAGGAACCTACAGAAATCTCAGTCAACCATCATCCACAATCAGACCTGCCTACCCTGGGTTTTTTGTTTCTTGGTTAGTTTTCCTTTATTCTTTTACAATTGCTCCTTAAAATCAGAAACGCTGCCTTAAACATCTATGAACAAAGGGCTTTATTTGGGACATTCAGATTACCAAAGAAAGCCTCTTGTTCTATAGTGTGTCTTAATGTGGTGATAAAACACCATGATGGAAAGCAAATTGAGGGAAGAAGGGGTTCATTTCATCTTACGACTCATGCATCATCACAGCCCATTACTTAGAGAAGTGGAGCAGGAACTTGAGACAGGAACCTGGGGCAGGAACTAAAGCAGAAGTCATGGTGAATTGCTGCTTACTGGCTTACTGCACTTGGCTTCCTCAGCCCGCTTTGTATGTAACCCAGGACTACATGCCCAGAGTTACACCATACTGCAGTGGGCTGGGTTCTCTCAATCAATCATTAGCCAAGAAAACACCACACAGCCTGCCTTATAGGCAATCTGATAGCAGTATTTTCTCCAGAGAGATTCCTTTTTCCAAGATGACTGTAGTTTGCATCAAGTTGACTAAAAACTAACAAGTGCTATTCTGTTGTCATTTACCTCTAACATTGCTTATCTTCGGAACAAAGGCTTCTTTGTGCCTCCTAATTCAATCCATCTAGCTAGTCAAGCAAAATAATAATAATAACAACAATAATAATAATAATAATAATAATAATAATAAACAACTTCTTCACATCTTCAACTTTAAGAACATTATCCTTTCATGGAATTGAACTGCCTTTTGTTATAATACCGCTAGAATTCTTACTATACATAACAAGAGAGGAAGTCTATATAAGCATCTATGTGTATTCAAGACCTGTGTAGATCCTAACTATAGGAACATTGAAGGAGACTGCACAAACACAGCAGGGTTCCCTCTCTGAACCCAGATTAGGCACAAACCATACCCAAACATCTGTCTTAATGGAGAGATCCTTTAACAAACATGAAAGAAAGCAGAAAAGACTCAGGCAGAAAAACAGCAGCAAATGACCTTGTAGATGTAATTTTAAGAGGAGAAAAAGGGGAGGTCTGTGTTAGAATGGGCTAGGATGTAGTGGTATAATTTAATTGGGCTTGTTAATTAGGTGAGCCTAAGGGGGCTTTTAATGGCTGAACCTTGGTGCTCGGCCTCAGGAGGGGAAAGTGGTCAAATAAGGGAATAGACCTTGGTGGCTAGCTTTAGCAATGTAATCTAATGGTTTTTAGCAAGGCAGTGGGAATAGAAGAGAAGGGCAAGGCCTGCCAGAACCATGTTTGGCAGGACCAGACAGGCTAGAGTCCCTTCAGACATGACATAATCTATATATAGTACATGAAAAATCACATTTTATAAATTCTGTGGTTCAAAATGTGAATAAAAGGACAAAGAAAATACTATGACAACACTTTCCTACAAATTTAAGAACTCAGGACACCACAAAGATTACAGGATTTTAAAATTAAGATTTTTGCAAAAACAAAACAGAAAGACATGACACTGAGAAAAATCCTGTTGGGAGCGGACAATTATGATGGGAGGGAGGAGGTAGAGAGAAGGTGGTGGAATGGTAGGAGAATTCAGAATGTATTGCATACCTGTATAAAATTAGAAGGAAATAAATTAATTAAAAATTAAGAGTTTTGAATTTGAATTTATAGATAATAAACTTCATTTGAAAACCCCCATGCATAAGAAACCATGCTCAACGTATCAAAAGTTATAATTCATAGTCACTTCACTTCATAAGCTCAGCCCAAACAGAAAGCCATAATTTGAGTCTCTGAGTTTCCTGATGAGAAACTGTTGGTGTTAAACTGTTGGTTGCTTTGAGACTCCTAAAATGTGTATGTGTGAAGTGAGGGGAAGAGTGTTTCCAAAACAAAAGAAGCCTTCAAAAAATAACGTGCAGAAAGTTCAGCGACAGCGTCCCAGGCTTTTACACAGACAATGGGCTGCTGATTTAGAAAATAGAAGTGCGGGAGTCGACAATGACAGATTAAAACTCATTAAAACCAAATCAGCTCATTGTATATCCTCAGCTAAGAGGCAAATGGCTCCTTTGTAAATACATGTATGCTCTTTCCCCCCTTTTATGCAGTAATCCCACAAGATACTTCTCAGGTATTTTAATGTCTATTCCTAGTCCTCCAGTGTTATATTCTATAGGAAAAAAAAAAGAAGAAGAAGAAGTGCCAAGGAATCCTGTCATCAAGGACACAGAAGAAACTTTGCAGAAGAAACTTTATTTGACCATCAGCCACTGGGCTGAAACCAAAGGCAGACAATACTGTCATTGTGGTCTCTTTGGGGGTTATCTGTGGAATTCTAATTAACCAATGCTCATTTTCTTTTCAGATATCAGAAGCAAAAACACAATCTGACTTAAGTTCCCAAGGAATTTGGAAAGAAACTATGAATTTATCTGTGGCATGCATTAGGAGAGACTCCCTGCAGATTCTCCTGTTGAAGCATCAGTCTAAAATACTTCTTCAAGTCTTGAAATTGAAATGTCACTCATCAGCAGTGGAACCCCCTAGAATATACAGACTTAAAAAAAACTGTTCATTTTGGTATCTTGGAGCTAAAAAAAATAAATTCTAGATGATAAATTCTTGAAGCATGAATATCCCCTTTGTAAGTCTCTTAGCCAATGGCTGTCTCCTCTTGAACTCTATGAGGTGTGTGTGTGGGGGGGGTTGTTTCATTCATTTGTTCCAACCTAAGATTTGCTAAAGCATCAGTGAAAATGATAGTCAATAATATTTAAGAATTTTTTTAGAAACTCATTCCTAGCCGTGAGAAGCAACAGAAAAAATAAACAGCACATCTCAGTGGAAAAGTATGAAAAGTAAAGGCTCACCCCTGCCTCTGTGGCTCAGCAGGACAGGATGCATGGACATATTTGACAGGCCTCCCTTGGTCTTTTATAAGACATACATCTGCTTCTTTCTTTTCCCTGTTATTGAAAACAAATTATTTCCTCATTCATTATATCCTGATTCTACTTTCCTCTCCCTCTACTTCTTCCATTTCCTCCCTACCTCCCCTCCCCTCTGGTTTCCCTTCCTTTCTGTTTCTCATTAGGACAAGAAACCAGCCGTTGAAAGGATAAAAACCAAACATCATAAAACATAATATGATGAATCATAAACTATATCAAAGTTGAATATGGCAACCCAACAGGAGGAGAAGAGTCCCAAGAGAAAGCATAAGAGTTGAGACACATTCATTCTCATGGACTTGAATCCCATAAAAACACTAAGCTAAAATCTGTAATATATACAGAGAGAATCTGGTGCAGAATGATGTAGGCCTTGTGCTTCAGTCTATTTAAGCTCATATGTGCCTTGCTTAGTTGTTTCAGATGTCTTGTTCCCCTGGTATCCCCTCTGGGTCTCACAATCTCCACAGGATTCCTTGAACTCTGAAAGTCTGAAAGGAGGGATTTGATGGACACCTCCCTCTCTCTCTCTCTCTCTCTCTCTCTCTCTCTCTCTCTCTCTCTCCATAATATCTGGCTCTGGGTCTCATTATCTGTTCCCATCTGCCATCTGCTTCTAGAAGAAGCTTCTCTGATCATGACCAGTAGTGTTTGGTTTTACCCTGTATCTCTGGGCTGTGTAGTCTCTGGTTCTTGGTTATCCTAGCAGGGCTGTATATAGGTTCCTTCATGTGTAGTGGCCTTAGATCAATTCAGACATCAGTAGGCTAATCCCATAAATTCTGTATCACCCTTGCCCTAAAATATTTTGCAGGCAGAACAGATTGTAGGCCAAAGGATTTGGGACTGGGTTGATATTTACATTTATATTTTGGTAGCCTACAGAGTACCATCCCACAGCAACAAGACTATTGCATGGGGTGAAGGCTTCATGTAGGCACAGCTTAACTTCTCCATGTTCAATGAGTTGTGTGGGTGTTGTCCTCAGGAACTGTCCCTGCTGTCAGTTTTTCTAATAGATTCCTCAGTAATAAATATTATATGGAGAATCTGAATTCAGTGTTTGTTGTTAAATGTTTGTCAGCACCAGTCTTTAAAACCTATAAAGTTTGCTTAAAATTTTGAAGCTAATGCAGATGTGCACACATACTCTGAGAATCACAAAATGTAAAACACAACATATCCTATATGATGTGTTAGTTCCGGGCACCTGCTCATTTGGAAAACATCTGTGCATGGCTGAAACCAACATGGCTCAAACACAGAAGGCTCATAGGCACCCAGACAGGCTGCTGTCTGCTTCTGCCTGTGAATTATTCTAAGTCAATATCTTGATGTTAACATGCTTTCATGGGCTTCGGGAATAATTCCACTAGGCTTCATCAAGCCAGTTTTCACTCAGGGCATAATTACCATAGGTAATTACTTGTAGGCAAATGTCTGCCCTTCCATTGGGTAGTCACAGCATTGTCATGTTCCAAAACAAATTTGATATGCCATTGCTGAAGTAATTACCATGCTCAGGGTTTTTTGTTGGTGGTGGTGATGTTTTTTTTTTAAATGTATAAATGCATCACATTTTAACCAGAGACTTTTTGTTCTTATGAAACTCTCCTCCAGAACAACCTGTGAATTACAATCGAAGGTAATTGGAGTACAGTGTTCTGTAGGAACTTGTTGAAATATGAATGTATCTATTGATAGATAGATATATCTACAGATAGATATAGTATTTAAAGCATTAGATAGTGAACCAGAAGTAAGGACTTCCATGCTCTCTCCCCATTTAGTGAGTCTGTGCACATACTTAATGGAGAATTTAACTGCATGCACTGAACTAGGCACTATGAAATGGTATACAAAGAGATTACAAACAGGTAACTTTCTGTGTCAATTAAAGTAATGCAAAACACAAACCAGAACCCAAAGATCTTTATTCCTTGCTTGTCTGCCCTGGCAAAAGCAAAGTAATATTTCATGAAATTTAAAATTATAATAATATAAATATTTATTAGATTATGAAGCTTAAAATGTATTTCTTATTAGAAGTTGTAAGAAGTTTTGAAAAGTCCTGAACTGGTCTGGTCCCTCTTCATACTTCCATGGTCAAACCACAAGAAAATTGGTGGAGAAGCCCACAGAACAGAGCTGAGAGAGCCATGCTCCTGGGCTTTGTTCAAGGAGAGGAAACGTAGAGCCTGGCCATACAGGTTCTCTGAAGGACTCTGAGTGAGGTTTTATAGCTGCAGCAAGTCTCAAAAGATTCTCTTCAATGGCTGTCTTGTGATTACTTCCAATGGTGAATTTTAATTAGTAGAATTAAGAGAAGACAATAAATAAAAAAAACATTTTATTTCAGTCATAGATCAAATGATAACCCTAGGAGCCACTTCAGGGCCCAGCTCCATGGATCCCTCAGCCATATGACTGACTCCTCCATTTCATTCCTCCTGGATACAAGTGAATGTGCTTCATTGTTTCCTACATCCCACAGTCTCTCAGAACCTTCCAAATCAGGGACTATGCATTTCCAGAATCAGTCACAGTGCTCACCCTGCTGCAGGCACTAAAGTGTGCTTGTGAAGTTAATGACGGTATGAATGAATGAATGAATGAATGAATGAATGAATGAATGGCTGAATATTCATCTTACTTCCCTCATGCTTCTCTGAAGCAATCAAAAGTTGTTCGTGTGATGAACACCTGCCATTCCAGGATTCCACAAAGCTTTAAGAATAGGAAAGAAATGATGTTAACAATAACTTCATCTATTATAATTTAAGTAGCCAGGATACTTACCAGAGATTTCTAACAAGCTGCTGGGAGGGAATGCTCATATCTGTAATCATAGTTTCCTAAAGGTGGAGGCAGGAGAACCAAAAGTTGCAGGCCAATCCCAGCTACATGTCAAGGCCATGTCCTAAGGAGATTAAATAATAATAATAATAATAATAATAATAATAATAATAAGAAGAAGAAGAAGAAGAAGAAGAAGAAGAAGAAGAAGAAGAAGAAGAAGAAGATCAGTTTATACAGGCACACTAGAGAGAAGTACCTGGAGTATCAAGAAAGGAATGATTCTGAAGCTGTATCTTTGTTTGAGCTGGATGAGCAAAAGGATTCAGTACTCCTAAAAGAAGCACAGAGATGGAGCAATGACTGATGTGTCACAGTCTATCATTTCTAAACAGCCAATCAACAGGACCGGACTATTCCTCTTTACTGAGTGAGTACTGAAAGTTTATTTTACTAAAGAAACACTTTCATTATTCCAGCCACAAAATGGCTAACTAGAAGCAGCAAGAGGACCATGCCCATCCTAATTCACTGAGGTTTCCTTATAGACTTTAGCAGATGGGACAGCTTAGTTCCCAAGTTGGGAAGACAATGATGGTGGAATTGATGTCAACTATGAGACTTCTCAGGATGGAGCTGAGGCAGAGAAAGAGCAATGAAATAAAGGCTGTCGCTTCTGAAACAGGTACTTCATAATTGCTACTTCACAGAAATTTTACTTTTAATGAAGCTAACAGCTATGATAAGTATAGTGAACTTGTCAAAACTTCTCCATGTTTGTTATTTTCTGACAGGCAGCCATTCCTCCATTCCCTCCTGAAGCCTCAGGGTTCAAATAGGGGAAAGCCCTCACCTTAAAGGCAGAATAAAAAATACATTTCAAAGAACTTTTTTTTGTGTTTTCTTCTTCTTTCTGAGGCCCATGTTTGTCCCCAAGTTGTCTGTGAAGTAGAAAACTATGTGCTCTACAGGACATTGTTTGCAAGCCAAAGAGAGAATTCAAAATTATGGGTCAGAGTCATTTGCTTGCAGTTAAAATGAAAATTCATGGTTAGATTTCAGAACACCGCTTGGTCAGGAAAGCACTGTTTGTGACACTTCACCTGAAAAATTAGATAATGGGCACTCACTCTCTCTTCTCCAAGAAGTTCTTTAAAAATTTAAAACAAAAGGTAAGTTGGCAAGATTCAGAAGGGTTGAATTAATGTCCCCAGGGTTGTTGAAACACCTCCTAATGGAGAGACACATCAATAAAAGCTGCTGCATCTCACTATGGGACTCAGCTATCAATAGGAGCATTTTGCCAAAACAGGTAAACACTGCCCACAGTATGGGATACAACCTGCTCTTGATATTGTCAGACTTATGAAATCTAACAATAACTATAGTGATTACTCAGGGATGAACATAAAAGAGGACTCCATTTGTGAGTTCAGATTAAAATGTTTTTTGGTTTTATGTTTTTGGGTTTTTTTTTTTTTTTTTTTGTGTGTGTGTGTGTGTGTGGTAAAGCAGCAGTCACTAAAATGTAGCACCTCCAAGAAAATCATCAATAAACAGAAAATGTGAGCAGAGCCACTAGGGTCAAAATAAGAGCAAGTCAGAGAGAGAGGTATAACTTTACAAACATGACTGTGATCACAAAAGAAGAAGAAAGAAAGAAAGAAAGAAAGAAAGAAAGAAAGAAAGAAAGAAAGAAAGAAAGGAAGAAAGAAAGAAAGGGAGGAAGGAAGAAGAAGAAGAGGAGGAGGAGGAGGAGACACAATAGTGCTCAAAGACTCAAAAGACAAATGGAGCCCAGACAGGCACAATGCAGGGAACTATAGTGCCAAAAACTAGAAACATTTAAAACTTTTGTTGTCAAGACGTTAGTAAAAGCCTACCTATGGTGGGAAATTATCAATACGGAGTCAGGTAGAGAGACAAGGGATTTTAATAAGGAAAAAAGCCTTACTTACAGAGCAACCTAGCCAGCAGGCAGACAGCAGTCTGTACAGGAAACCGAAAGTGACCACCCACATGACCCCCTTTCACTCTACATCACCCTGACCACGCCCTCGCAGGGCCCCTAAGCAGGCGTGGCTACAGCTTCCCCTACACTCACCTCTATAAAAGAAGGGCCCAGACAAAAGTGACAAAGAACAACAACAAAATGAAGGAAATGAGACAAAACAAATAAGTTAGAAACAGTGAAAAAGAACTTGCACGCAATTAGCCATTGAATAGACTGATGGAAATAGTTTAAAGCTCACAAATGTCAGGGTCTCTTTAGCTCATGCAAACAATATGCAACCACAACAAAGTGCAAGCAAATCTAATCTAATGTTACTTAGAAAGGTTGGAGTAGCCTGAATGTGAACCATGAGCTGTAGTTTGCTAGTCCCTGGTGTAGAGAACTGAACATACATGAAGCAGATACAAAATGCATGAAATTTTCATGGGAACACATAAAGAACTGAATTGGGGGATGAAAACAGAGTACTGGTTACCAGTGAATGATCTGAATTCAGTCTGTAGATCTTTGAAAAATGAATAAGGTCAAATAGAGAGAAATATAGCTAATGTGGACATCTTGACAATTATAAACCTTGGGACCAGAATTTAATATCAAGGTCCTTCACTTTGATGTCAATCACTGTATTAATCTGATAAGTATAAATTACATTCTGCTATTATTATCTGGAATTGGGACATAGGTTCAGCTCCATTCCACCCTGAGCCTGAGCCTCACCAGTGACCTAAAGAGTTCCCCTTTCCCATGAGGGACCTCTATTCAAGTAAAACCTGGATTCCTGGCTTCAAGGGACAATGAATTTAAGAGTAAACCAGTATGAAGCAGAGATGTAGATCTATTAAACCAATAAACACAGATCTTAAGCTCAGGACTTAATAGAGAGGTAAAATGATATGTACTCAAGAGTAAACGTGGGCTTCCCTGGGTAGAATCATACTTGGCAGTCTTTATAATGGGTATATGCAGTATGTGGGTGGTTGTCAAGTTATCTGGCTAAAAGTTGCTACGAAACACCCCCTGTAATGACTACTCAAAGACAGTAGCCTCCAGAAAGTTTAAAAGCAGAAAACAATCCACAACTCTGAGATACCATCTTACTCCTGTCAGAATGGCTAAAATCAAAAATGCCAATGACAATTTATGCTGGAGAGGATGTGGAGAAAGAGGAACACTCCTCCACTGCTGGTGGGAGTGCCAACTTGTATAGCCACTGTGGAA